ACCAGCAGCACACTTATACGATAGGGAACTCCCTACTTGAGAGCACGGAGGCGGAAAGGGATCTTGGTGTCATTATTGACTCCAAGATGAACATGGGCCGACAATGCGAGGTCATGGTTGGCAGGGCTAACTGGACCTTGTCGTGCATCCACAGGTGCATCTCGAGTAGAGCCAGGGAGGTGATCCTCCCCCTCTATGCAACGCTGGTCAGGCCGCAGCTGGAGTATTGCGTCCAGTTCTGTGCGCCCCATTTCAGGAGGGATGTGGACAACATGGAGAGGGTCCAGAGGAGGGCCACCCGCATGATCCGGGGACAACAGGGCAGACCCTACAGTGAGAGACTGCGGGACCTGAACCTATTCAGCCTCCACAAGAGAAGGCTGAGGGGGGACCTGGTGACCGTCTATAAACTCACTAGGGGGAACCAGAAGGGTTTGGGGGAGACGCTGTTCCCCCTAGCCCCTGCTGGCATAACAAGGAGTAATGGGCACAAGTTGATGGAGAGGAGGTACAGATTGGACATCCGAAAAAACTACTTCACAGTTAGGGCGGCTAGGAGCTGGAACCAACTTCCAAGGGAGGGGGTGCTGGCCCCTACCCTGGGGATCTTTAAGAAGAGGCTGGATACCTACCTGGCTGGACTCATTTGAGTCCCGTTTTTTGTTTAGGGGTCTTTTGTTGTTCTCCCGCCCTGGCGGGGGGGCGGGCTAGAAGATCTATTAGGTCCCTTCCGACCCTAAAACTATGAAACTATGAACATCAGTGTTGATATTGCCAAATAATTAAACTTGGAAACCTTTTACACTGAACTTAGAACTTGATTTTCAGGCACTTGTACCATATCAACAAAGGCAGCTGTTACTAAAGATCCTGGCATGAGATCTTGTCTACCAGGAATCTTAGGCACCTAAGAAGTTTCCTTATATAATGCAGTAACTCAAGAGGACTGTGTCAACTTAGTTCTATGTTGTGCAAACTTTTCTACTGTGACTGCAACTGATTATTAGCCAAAGGGTTGCTATTTTTTGAATAAGCAAGCTAGAACTGCCTTGCATTTCTTTCACCAATGAAACATACTTTGCTTACAAGTTCTTATACAACAGGGAACAACAACAACAGTCCACCTAGCCCAGTATCTGCCAGCAGCAAATAGTAGATGCTTTAGAGCAGCAGTGCTCCTTGTTCTGGCCCCCATCTGGCTGGGGCTGCAGCTGGGCACCAGAGGCCTTGTATTGCCCCCCACATACAGGGATTGGGCCCTCATTACCCTGCACACTTGATCTGGCATGCAGGGCCACAGCTCACAGGGCTCCCCACAGATCCATGGGGAGCCTCATGGGTCAAATAGGTGAGGACTCCCATGGGTTGAGGATCAGATATGGCCCCACGAGCAAAAGATTGTACACCCCTACATTAGGAGGGAGTGTGTGTAATGAATGGGACATGTCTAGCATAATCCATTCCCTTCCATACCCTGGTATTAAGGTTTAAACATTTTTGATGGTTATCTGGAAAGAACTGGAAATATTAAGGGTTGAGACATTTCAATCAATTTGTTTTAAACAAGGGTTGTTGTTTTTTTTTTTTTTAATTAAAATAAAACCTGCATTAAACTGAACCAAATTTCAGTTTATAAAAATGCCTCTTTAAAACCAACTACAACTTTTCTTCTCCTGCTCTTTAGATTCTAATAAGTCTACTTCTAGTCTTCTAGAAACTTGCTTACTAAGCTTAACTTATAACTGTTCACATAGTAGTGTCCTAGTTTTGATGCATTTGAAATACCCTAATTAAATGCTTCCAACCCAGGGGTTTCTATTAAATTTGATAATACAGGATTTCAGCATAGAAGCATGTTTCAACAAGATGCAATTAGTCATGGCTCCAATAAAAGACAACAGAAGTACACTGTCCCACTTAACAGATTTAAGTAAACTAGGACACTTGTCACAAGTATCTACCCTTAAACATTAAGTCTAACTGATAAATGATGCAAAGAAAAGCAAAAAAAAAAAAAGTAAAAAGCAAGACCACGCAAATACTGGTAAATTGTGCCTTTAGCAATATTTAAGTAATTTTTTTTTTTTTTTTTTTTTTTATAGCTGGATTCAAAAGAATTTTGTAGGTAAAGTCAAGAAACGTTCAAGCTTTAAAAACGAAATTGCTTCCCTTCCCATCTGCACTCATCTTTGGATAGAAGTAGCCCCAAACGCTATTTTGGAACTTCAGTTTATACCAGTGTGACACTAGAGATCTGATACTCAAAGGTGTGAAGTTGATATGCATGTTTGACCAACAAATCCATAAACAGGATAGTTCTTCACCGTCTCAGTTGCAGGTAATACATCACTGATATCAAGACAGACTGCAAGAAGAACAGGTCAAATCATTCCCTGATGATCTAATGAAAATTCTGATTTTATAGACACTATGGGGGTAGAAGTAGGGTGGTTTCAGGAATAGCTCATTGGAAAACAACTGGATAGGTTGTTTTCTTCTGGAGTTCCCTGAAGTCAAAATCATCTGTAAAAACTAGTCAGCAGAGCAACGAGGAGTCTTCAGGCCTGTCATTCCAGAACACTGGATACACAGTAATGGAATCCCAGGGTGTTGGGATGTAGGGGACCAGTTTCTCATTCCCAGGTGCATCACAGGCTATGACCAAGGCAAGCCATGGAGGCCCAGATCCCTTCGCTACCTTTATAGACCTGGACTTAAGGGTATGTCTCATTTCTACATTTGTAAAACAGGACTACAGTATTTATTTACCCCATAGGAGGTCTGGCAGATGAGCTTGCTATTGTGTGCGAGAACTCTGGTACCAACCTGATGCAAGGGACTTGGGACAAGATGATACAGCGGCTGGAGAATAATAGGGCCAGAGGCACTTGGGTGCATATTACCATTACAGAAGCAGCTCTTGTTAAATTACATAGTAAGAAAGACCAGCAAGATCTTGCCATAAGGTCCATCAGGACTAAGGCCTTTGGTAGACCAATGTGATCACGAGATTGGGATCTGAGAAATTTTATGCCTGATCCAAGAAACTATGCGTCTTGCCATGCCAGATGTGCATGTCAGGTTGTGTAATTTTTTGGAATCAGGCAAACTCCTCTGATCCCAACTGTATGACTGCCAGGTGCACCAGGGGTTGGGTGGGGAATAGCGCCATGTCCCAGACCTGGAACTGCCTCTGGAAATCAGGTGGTGGCATCTGGGTCCAAGACCAGAAACTCCATCCTGTCTGGTCTCAGGGATCAGGTATGGAACAGCTGCATGTCTGGGACTGACAATCAACTCTTCTTCAGGATGGGACATGGGCAGCCCCGTGGTCTGGGCCGCAGGCCACATGTTCAGTTTAAAGAAAAATACGGAACAGCCATGAAGATATTCCACATTTAATTTAATTAAATTTAATGTGGAATATCATTGTGGCTGATTTGCTATTCTATGGCACCACAAACTGATTCAGTATGTTACAATGTAAGGCATTATTAACACAATTGCACCAGTATCCTTAGCACAATTAATTTCCCTGCATCTTAAAAAGGGATGCAGTTTCCTGGAATACAGGCCTAGAAACTAACCATACGTTCCAGAATTACTATTAAGATAAATCTGGCTGAACCACCGGGAGTCAGCATACTGCAGACATCTGTGGAAGGGATGCAGGATGCTTTAAAGAAACCGGTCACGGATGCTGGCCTTAAGATTGGTCCCATGAAATGTAATATATCTCATCCAATGCACCAAGTACCCCGATGGAAAATACGTAGGAGGGACCAAACAACAACTGCGCACCAGAATAAACGCACACCGGAAATCTATCAAAGACAGAAATACCCAATTACCTGTGAGGGCACATTTCTCACAAGAAAACCACTCTCTCCAATCTCTTAGTCCTGATCCTCAAAGGAAACCTACAAAACACTTCCCAAAGACGAGCCTATGCACTCCACTTCATCAACCTCCTGGATACTAAAAAGTCATGGACTAAATATAGACATTGGATTTATGACACATTATAACCTGCCTGCCATCTGACTCCCCAGGTATTTCTCCACTTTCATCCCCCTTCTCTCTCTTTCCCCCCCCTCCCCAGCCTGTCTCTCACCCATTGACTCCTCAATCTACATTTTCACTCACTGCCTGTCTTGTATGCAGACCAGCCCAGCCTCTGGCTTCTTTACTTTTCATTCTATCCAGGAAGAGCACACACCAACTGCTGAAACTTCCTTAGCCTGATGAAGGGTTTTTGAACCCGAAAGCTTGCTTAATAATTGTTTTCCAACTATTTGTGTTGGTCTAATAAAAGATATCAGATTCACCCAAAGAACCTTGTCTACTAAACTTGACACCCGAAAAACCTTTTAAAAGCTAAGTATCAATAATGGCCCAAAACTGTAAGTGGCAACTACATTATTTCAGGCATGAACATTAAAACACACTAACTTTAAACCAAAATGTATACATCTAAGCATCAAATAAGGGAGACTGATTTTGCAACTGGTTTGGCAAATGAATAGAAAACTGAAGAATAATTGGAAATGGGAAGATTTTAATTAGAAATGGGAAAAAAAATTATGAAATTCCAAAGATACCATTTTCAGGGTTCCAAATGAACCTTTTTAGTCTGTGAAAAAACAGGGTTTCAGTAAAAGAAAGTGTAGATGCTTGGTATTACATTTTTTTTTAAAGTCAAGATTCTTGTTATGAAATAAGGCCTTTGACTTTTAAAAGTGTTGTGAAATTTCAGCCAGTTCCATAAGTGCTCGTTTCTGAGAATGGGATGCATCATTTGATACATGCATGCCCCTCCTGCCGTTCTCACTAACATCCAGTGTACAGCTCAAAAGGTTCCTAAGCCACATAGCTATGCAAGCGACTCCTGCCATGAAGTTCTGCAAGGGCAATGTCACAAAGGACAACGCAAGGGTTTAACAATTAGTGCTCTACAGTTTAGCAAGGTCTTATAATCAGCATTTCCATTTCATTCTTACCCATCATTCCACTGGTCACTAGCTGCCTCTTCTGCTACAAGGATATCATACTCTTCAGCAGCATACTTTTCCCAGTCAGAGATCTCTTGGCTGTCATTATCACTATCCTAAATGTAATCAATTTTAACAGTTTAATATAATGATATTACATTTTACATATTAGCATTTAAACAAGATACTTTGCTAAGCACTTACCCTCAACACAGAAAACTGATCCTTTTGCTCATGATCAAGGTATTTTTCAATGTTGAAAAACGTATCAAAGAAGACATTTGCCAACTTACACTTCTTTAAGTCATGGAGAGTGATTTTCCCTGGAAAAGAGATCAAGAAAGCAGGAAAGAAGATCTTTAAAAATAAACCTCCGATTGAATTGCAATTCATCCTCTCTCTGAAAGAAAAGTGTCTTCAGAAGTTAAGTCAGCTTTGCTCAAGAACCTCCAAAATTCAGAAGGTGATCAGCTTTCTGCACTGGGAAACTATCTCCAGTTCAAATTATGATGTTCAGCTGCAGTACTGCCAGCACCTTAGTGATTTGATTATGTGGGGTACCCAAGGTGAAGGAATTGTAACACTTTCCCCATCTTACTTAATACTGGTTTCATACATTTGCATATTTAAAAACTTTAAGTCAACATTTAATCACTAAAATATGCCTCTGACTACGTAGTCACTTGTGAAACTGATGCTTAAAGGCCATTAGCTCTTATTTTAATGACCCATCTCACAGTGACTTGAATTCTATAGTTTTGAAACTGACATTAAAAAAAAGCATGTCAATGGTTCATCCTCTCCCCGTCCAGCATAGTTGGCATAGTGTGGTTAATGTGTATCAGCTTAAAAATTAGAACACGTGAAGCAGACATTAAAATATATATTTAAGTACTAAATGCCACCAATGCCCGATTCCCACAGTAGTCAGAAATTAATTAGATAAATATACACAAATGATCCAAGCAGATGCGTCTCACTCAAATGGCAAAAAAAAGAAAGCTTTGAAATATGTTTAACAATTTCATTTTTTTGCCATTTGCACTGAAAGATGTACCATCATTTAATTGTTGTTCAGTTTTTATCCATCTAGATTTGGGCTCCATGCTGCAAAGATCATAATTGCTCTTCCCTTCCTCTCCTTCTGCCACAAGATTCCTCCCAATCTGAACTGGGAAACAATTTCTTCTTGACCTCAAATCTGGACGTTACAGTTTTACCACCTGCATCTAGCATTGGGCCTACATTTGATCTAGGCTTTATTTAAAACCATAACATTCCAAAACCCAAAACAAGCTGTTCAACTACCTCAGCAGTTAGCAGATCTTATCTCAACAGTGGTTAAGTGCTTCAGTCAGTCTATTCCAACAAAATTAAGAGGACATCTCTTACAATTTAAATAGCCCTTAATTCTGGCAGGGTTGGTGGGTAGGGAGTGGAACTTCAGAATAATTACTATGTTCAGTGAAAAAAATTGTAGCCATGCATAACAATATACCTATGTTCCTGTAGCCTACTAAGCTACAAGGATATCTTAAAAACTGAGTGTTGAAATCCAAGTAAGAACAACAGTAAATTAACCTTTCCATTATGTTTAGGCAGTTTCATAATTTTACCCAGGCGTTGCACATAAAGTGACCAAACTGTGATGCATAGCTGGCATCTAAAAAACTGCTGAACAAAGAAATAAGTTATGATAGAACACCTATTATTTTGTTGTAAAAGTAAAATTGTAAGACAGCTAGAAAATTAAATGTATACACCACATTTTAAAACACTTTAAGAGAAACAGCTAGGTCAGTCCTGGGTGCATGCTATAATACAATCTGTACATTACAGAACAGACTCGGGAAGTTATGAAATACATTTATGAGCCTGTTTTAGATGCTGAAACAAATTAAGAGAGCCCAAAGGCGAGCCAGAAAGGATGACTAATAATCAGGGATTCTGGTTTTCTCCAATTAAAAAAAAAAAAAATCCCCAATTTTCAGGTTAAAAAAGTAACTCAAAATCCACATTTTTCTCTGATCAAAATGAAACGCCACAGAAAAGTGTGGATTTTGGGTTAGCTTTTTTAACCAGAAAATTGGGTTTTTTGGTTTTTTTTTTTTTTTTTTTTTTAAATTAGAGAAAACCAGGATCCCTGCTAACAATGTGGTCAGCTAGTCATTTAGACAAGACATACTTTAACTTGGCTGTAGCACTGCCAAAGACTGCGACTGTTGTATGGAGTAGATTGGAGACAGATCCATTTGTCATCCAAACTAGGCTCAAGCAAGGATGTGTCATTGCTCCAACTGTTCCCCATTTTGACAGTCATCCTGGTTTTTATTAAGGACTGCCAAACTTTTGGAATTGACACTGAATACCAAACAGAAGGGTTCCTCAATCTGGGTTGATTTTACTTAAAGACCAGAGTACTCTAAACAACCATCCTTGACCTTCACTATACCAATGACAGCGCCATCCTTGAGCACACTGAGGAAAACCTCCAGGCCATGCTGGAACTTTTTTGGAGAAGCCTACCAAACTTTGGGTCTCTCTCTTTTAACATCAAGACGACTCAAGTGCTCCATCAGCCTGCCACAGGACATTAATGTAAGCCCCTTTCCCAAATTACCATCAAGATCACCTTCTGAATTTAGAAGGTTCTTGAGCAAAGCTGACAACTTCTGAAAATACTTTTCTTTCAGAGAAGGGATAAACTGCAGTTCAATCAGCGCTGTGCCCCAGGAAGGTGGCCAGCAGGCACCACAGCTGCCCCTTCTACTTGTCGCAGCATACAGCTCTGCCTCTGTCTCCCTGCAGTGCACTGCTGACTTGGCGGCGGAGGGGCAGGAAAAGAGGGAGACGACCCTGGCAGAAGTAGTTGAGCACTTCCTCTACTTCAGTAGCTACCTCTCAGAGTGAACATTGATGAGGAGATTCAACACAATGTCTTTATTCATTGTGATCTTCAGAAAGACATCAAGATTTAAGTCTACAATGCAGTCAGACACACCCTACTCTAGGGATGCGAGATGTGGGTGACCTACCATTGTCATCTCAAGAGCCTAGAGAGACAGCACTAATGATGCCTCCAGAAAATCCTCCACATTAAGTGGGAAGATCAGTGCACAAATGCCAGCATCCTTGCCAAAGCCAGTGTTACCAGCATTGAGTCCATACCCCTCAAGCACCAGCTTTACTTGACCTGTTTGTGTGTGGATGCCTGACTCCCAAAACAAATTCTCAACTCCCGGTTTTAGTAACAGCCTGAGATCTCAGGGTGGCTAGAGGAAACACTACAAGGACATATTGAAGGCATACCTCAAGAAAATGAATACTAACATCAAAAGTTGG